GCCAGACTGGGCGGAGCTGGGGGATGCCTTCCCCTTGGAGACCCACCTTTGGACGTGACTGGAAGCAAGTTGGGCCCCTCACAAAACCTAGAAGCTGCCCTGCTTCCCTTCCCCTGCATTAGGAGAATCACATGTGTCACACGGAGTCACATCATAAGAGCTAGGTGCTTCATCAGTGGAACTAGAAACTACAGAAACCCCTCTTTGCCCCCCCCCCTCGCCCCACTGCCCCTCCCCTCTCTCCTCCCCTGCGCTAACCACTCTGAAGCGTACTGTGGGAGCCCAGCATAATAGTTAAAGATGGGGGCCGTGAACCAGCCTGCCTGGATCAAATCTCCATTCTGCTACTTATCAGCTCTGTAACCTTGGGCAAGTTCCTTTGCCTCTCTGTGCCTTAGTTTCCTCGCTGAAAAATGGGGACAGTAAATAGTCCTCACTTCAATGGGCCATTGTGAAGGGAAAAAATGAATTAATATTTGAAAAGCACTTCAGCCAGCCGTGATCCATGGCAAGCATTCCATAAGCACTCAGCTCCCAGTAGGATCCTTCTAGTCTTTTCTGCACATGTACCCATTTCCTGCCTAAATGGGCTCAGGCTGTACCTTTTATTCTGCAGTTTGCTTTCTCCACTCAGTACTATATCTTTGATATCTTCCTTCCTGTATCTGAGGCTTTTCCTGTTCTGGAGTCCTCTTTCTCCTTACCTCTCCCTCACGGAGCCCAGTGATTTCTCCCTGTCTCTCCTCTCCCTCTGTCTACATCTTCCCTCAGGAAAAGTTTTGACCAGTTAGTTCGCACTAAGGTGTAAATGACTGATGGGGGGAGGCTAGATGAAGCCAGCACTAGCCTTGCTCAGAGGAGACCAGGACCCCCCCCCATTATCAAATGCCTAAGGGCCTGCGAAGTGACTTCCACATGCTCGCTGTGTCACCCTGAATCTTGACAATGGCCCCATGAGGCATGTGCTGTTATTGGCTGCATTTTACAGAGGAGGAAAGCAAAGCACAGAGAGGTTAAGTGGCTTTCCAAAATCACCCAGCCAGTATGGGCAGGGAGTCTGTTAGACTGCAAAGCTCATTTTGCTCGTGACTAAGCTGGAAGCCAGACAGAGCTGAGGGCTGAGGCGGGGTTAGCTGACAGGCTCTGTGGGGGCAGCAGTGGGAGGAAGCTGGGGGGTCCAGAGGGCACAGATGGAGCTGGCCGTGCACCTTGGGAGGGGCAGCAATTCTCAGGGGCGTCAGACCCCTCCCCTGGGGCAGGAGAGAAGCTTCTCCAGGGAAACCCCCCCCGTCCCTGGTGTCTGCACTTCAGGCCCCCGGTGTTACTGATTGCTAAACTGTGGCTCCTTTCCAGGCGTGGTGAGTCTGGACGTCCGGGCGGTGGAGACGGGCCTGAAGTCTCCCATATCCCTCCTCTCAGTTTTTCCTGGCTACCCTGGGCGCCAGGGGGGCTGCGAGTGGCTCCTCAGGCTTTGAGAGTGAGCAGGTGCGCTTGGGGGCTGGGGTGGGAATTAGCGTGTCCTGGACCATCCCCCTCGCCCTCCGATCCCCCCAAGTCCCTCCCCTAACCCTACGCCCATCCCACCCAGACCACACTCCTAGCGACTCAGCCTGGGGACCGGGGCAAGGGGAGAGGCCGAACTCTGCTGGCAGGAGCAGCTCTGTGGGGTGTGACAGCCCTGCCAATGATGGCTAGAGAGTGGGAAAGCCTCACTCTGCCCTGCATGCCACGCTGCCCTGTCAGAACACACGCCACAGGCTGAGGCTGCAGACTCCTCGCTATTCACAATCACCTGACACCTGTCCTGGGAGGAGGCTCCTACAGATTCCAGGCAGGTGGTGGGGCAGGAGTTCCTGAGTCCATTTGACAGATGGAGGAACTGAGGCTGGCCCAGCCGGCAAGAGGCCGAGCAGGCCTAGCACAGCGTCTCCTCACAGCAAAGCCAGCTCTAGCCCGGGACAGGCCAGGCACCCAGCCCTTTGTCAGAGAAACAAGGGGCCCGTTCTCCCCCAGCCCTCCCTGTGCCGGCTGGCACTGCCAGGCCCGGTGCTGGCCCCCCTGCTCCCTGCCAGCCAACTGAAGCCAGATTGTCCCTGAGGGGGAGGGGCTGCCCAGCGCCGTGTGTAGGGGGTGCAGCTGCGAGGGGCTGGGCCGGGCTGGGGTCAGAGCCCGTGAGGTCTGTAGGGCTAGTGTGCGTGGTGGGCAGTGTGCAAAGACGGGGATACCCCCTGCAGGAGCACAGGGGAGGGGGTGGGCAAAGGCATGGGTGGAGGCTGCAGCTGTGTCCCGGGTGCGGGATGGAGAAGGGGTGGGGAGGGCGTCAGCTCCTTTCTCTCTGGGGACGGTCCTGTTGGCAGCTGGGCAGAGAGGCCCATGGGGCTGAGGCAGCCCCTTCACTGATGCATGGCCTGGGGGACAGAGAAGGACGGGAGGTGAGGTGAGGGCTACCGCACACTTTCCTGCCTTGTAGGGAAGCCACTGCGGCAGAAGGAGCCCAGGTTGGGAGTCAGGTGGCTTGGGCTCCATTCCGGGCCGGGATCAACCGGCCATGCAGCCTGGGACCAGCTCCTTCCCAGCCCTGAAGGGAGACCCTCTGTTCCCCATCGTGGGCTCAGGGACCAGCCTGCTTGGGACTGGGTCCCGCTCCGTCCTCGCTGCAAGACACTTAATTTCCCTGTGTCTCTGTGTTTTCTTTATCTATAAAAGGAGAATAATAATCAAAACCACCTCATAGGGCTGTGTGAGATGCAAGCGTTTGGAACATTGTCTGACGCACACTCAAATGTGTGCAAGTTATTATTTCTATGATCTGGTGGTTTTTGCTGAATATTCCCAGTACTTTTCACCAGTGCTGACCAAGTCCAGTGTCTAGCATTGGCCGGAACATTTCAGCCTGTGCCGCTTTCCTTCGCCACCCCCAGAGGGCTGGGGCTCACTCTCGGGAGCTTGGGACACAGCTCTGGCCCCTGGTCCATGCTGGCCGGCTCACGCTGCCCGTCACGTGCTCATCCGTGTCTCACGCACTCAGCCTACCAGGTGGTGTGCGCTGTGCAAGACGTATTTTCATTTAACACTCCCACCAGTCTTCTGAAGTAGAAACGGTTTATAGATGAGGAAAGTGAGAGGTTAAGTGACTTGCCCAAGGTCACAAAGCAAAGAAGTGGCAGAACTGGAACTCAAGCCCAGACCTACCCTGTTCAAAAGCCCTTGCTCAACCACGAAGTCAAACTGCCTCTTGTAATATCCCCAAGACAGGACACTCCAGCCCCTGCAGGACCCGCATGGGGTTTGGGGCACCCCCAGGAGCACTGCACCTCTTAGAGAGTCTCAGCCTATCCCAGTAGAAGGAACCTTAGAAATCACAGTGCCCATCCCTTTCCTTCTGTGCATGCGGAGATGGAGGCTCAGAGAGGGGAAGCGGTCTGCCCAGGGTCACTCAGTGAACTAGAAATAGAGTGGGCTCAGCTACGGGACTTATTCTGCCCTGTCCTTCTACCTTCCAGACTAGGCTTGGGAGCCTAAGTCACACCTGTCTCACTGAGACCCATAAAAGATCAGGGCTGGGTCGGGCGTGGTGGCTCACGTCTGTAATCCTAGCACTCTGGGAGACCGAGGGGAGAGGATCGTTTGAGTTTAGATGTTCGAGACCAGCCTGAGCAAGAGCGAGACCCCGTCTCTACTAAAAATAGAAACAGATTAGCTGGAAAACTTAAAAATATATAGAAAAAATTAGCCAGGCATGGTGGCGCATGCCTGTAGTCCCAGCTACTCGGGAGGCTGAGGCAGGAGGATCGCTTGAGCCCAGGAGTTTGAGCACCAGGGGCCCTGACGTGGCCCTCCCTGCACAGGGTTATAGTTGCCTGTGGACTTGCCTTTCTCGTGTACTGACTGTAGGTCCATGAACCCAGGGACCGCAGTGGGATCCCCAGTGCCTGGCTCATACACAATATTCATTCCTCACGTATGCATTCAGCACATTCCACATCCCAGGCCCTGGGCTAGAGGCCAAAGGTATAGCAGTGAATAGGGCAGACAGCATGTCTGTCCTCAAGGGAGTTTGCATTCCTAGTAAGAAAGAGACAGACAATGAAATAACTAAGCAAACATGTATAGTATTTAAGATGGTGATGAGTGATATGGAGGAGAATAGGAGGGAAGGGGCATAGGGAGTAGGGGCGTGAGGGTTAAGGGTTTTGCCGATTTGACAGGGTGGTCATGGAAGGTAACATTTGAGCCTTGGGGGAGGTGAAGGGGTGAGCCATGATGGCATCTGGGGAAGAGCATTCCAGGCAGAGGGAATGGCAGGTGCAAAGGCCTTGAGGTGGGAGCATGCCTGGGGTATTGGAGAGATTGCATAGAGGCTGGTAGGTGTGGCTGGAACAGATGGAGCAAGAGGGAGAAAAGGGAAAAATGGGGTCAGAGGGGAGCATGAGGTCAGGACAGGTCATACAGGGCCTTCCTGGCATGGTTAAGGACTTCGGCTTTTCCTCTGAGTAAAGTGGGAGCCATGGAGAGTTCTGAGCAGAAGGAGGGACAGGATCTGGCTTAGGTTTTAACAGGATCCGTATCATTACTGAGTTGCAAGCAGAATGGCGTGGGCAAGACAGAAGGAGGGAGTGCGAACATTAGGAGGCTCCTTCAGGAATCCAGTCAAGACATAGTATGGGCCGGGCCCACAGTGGTGGCGGCAGCGGAGGCTGCAGAGGAGGATGCGTCTGATCTAACGGTCAGCACATGCAGCGAGACAGAGCGAGGAGTCCAGGTTGACTCCAGGGGTTGAAGCTGACCAGCGGCAGTCCATGAAGATGACAGAATCTCTAGCTCTGCTCCAGGAGCCAGGAGCTTGGGTTCATGTCTCAGCTCTGTCACCGGCTTGCTCAGGGACCTTGGGCAAACCCTTTCCCCTCTCAGGGTTCAGTGTCTTCCCCCGTACAATGGGTGCGATCCCACCTGTGCTCTGGGGAAGACGAGAGCCTCACACGCCTGTCCCCCATCCACAGGGAGCCAGCGCCGGCAGCCGCCATGGCGTCGCGCATCGGGCTGCGCATGCAGCTCATGCGGGAGCAGGCGCAGCAGGAGGAGCAGCGGGAGCGCATGCAGCAGCAGGCCGTCATGCACTACATGCAGCAGCAGCAGCAGCAGCAGCAGCAGCAGCAGCAGCAGCAGCAGCAGCAACAGCAGCTGGGGGGGCCGCCCACGCCGGCCATCAACACCCCCGTCCACTTCCAGTCACCGCCACCTGTGCCCGGGGAGGTGCTGAAGGTAGGGCCTGCTCCGGCCTGTCCCCACCCCACTGGTGCCAGCCCCCAATAGAGCCCTCACCTTCTCCCCCTCCCAGGTGCAGTCCTACCTGGAGAATCCCACGTCCTACCATCTGCAGCAGTCCCAGCACCAGAAGGTTCGGGAGTACCTGTCCGAGACCTACGGGAACAAGTTTGCCGCCCACATCAGCCCCGCCCAGGGTTCCCCAAAGCCCCCGCCAGCCGCCTCCCCGGGGGTGCGGGCTGGACACGTGCTGTCATCCTCAGCAGGAAACAGTGCTCCCAACAGCCCCATGGCCATGCTGCACATCGGCTCCAACCCCGAGCGCGAGGTGAGTGGCGAGGAGGCCAGCGGCAGAGCTGGTGCCCGCTGCTGTGCTCCTGAGATGCCTGGTCTAACGGCAGAGGCAGGGGTGCTGTTCTCATGGAGCCCCAGTCTGAGGGGGGACATGGCCCTGCCCTCGGGGAGCCCCAGTGTGAGGGGGGACATGGCCCTGTCCTCGGAGAGCACCAGTCTGAGGGGAGACACGGCCCTGTCCTCGGGGAGCCCCAGTCTAAGGGGAGACATGGCCCTGTCCTCGGGGAGCCCCAGTCTGAGGGGAGACACGGCCCTGTCCTTGGGGAGCCCCAGTCTGAGGGGAGACACGGGCCTGTCCTCAGGGAGCTCCAGTCTGAGGGGAGACACGGCCCTGTCCTTGGGGAACCCCAGTCTGAGGGGAGACATGGCCCTGTCCTCAGGGAGCACCAGTCTGAGGGGAGACATGGCCCTGTCCTTGGGGAGCCCCAGTCTGAGGGGAGACACGGCCCTGTCCTCAGGGAGCCCCAGTCTGAGGGGAGACATGGCCCTGTCCTCGGGGAGCCCCAGTCTGAGGGGAGACACAGCCCTGTCCTCAGGGAACCCCAATCTGAGGGGGGACACAGCCCTGTCCTCGGGGAGCCCCAGGCTGAGGGGAGACACAGCCCTGTCCTCAGGGAGCCCCAGTCTGAGGGCGGACACAGCTCTGTCCTCAGGGACCCTCAGTCTGAGGGGGGACACAGCCCTGTCCTTGGGGAGCCCCAGCCTCACAGGGGAAACAGCATCCCTGCTGTTGAAGGCTCTGATAGGGAGAAGCAGGAGGCTCACACAGGGCAGCCCAGCACACCCGCACAGCCCTAGGCCGGAGGTATGGCAAGGAAGCTCCCTGGGCAGGTAGGCTCCTTGAGAAGAGCCCTGGCCTGGCCTTGGGGCCAGTGAGACAAGGACAGCTCCTCTCTCACTCAGTCTGCTTCCCCCTCCCCCAGAGGAGCAGGTTGGGCCAGGTGTGCTCCAAGGTCCCTCCAGGTCAGTGGCTGTTTCAATGCCCCCTCCCCCTGCCCATCTCCTGGTGCGCCCTCCCCAGGTGGACTTTCTGTCTTCCAGTTTGATGATGTCATCGACAACATCATGCGTCTGGACGATGTCCTGGGCTACATCAATCCTGAAATGCAGATGCCCAACACGGTACTCCTGGCCAGGCTCGGGTGGGAGTGTGACGGGGGGCGGGGGCCACAGGACCAGAGTGGCTCTGAGCCTGAGGGCTAGAGACAGATCCTCACCGGGCAGAGCTGGCATCTTTCTGTAGGTGACAAGGGCCCAGAATTATGGCTCAAGAAGGATGTGCCCCAGCCTGTGTGCATCTCATGGGGCTTCAGAGGGCTGAGAGGTGCTGGGGCAGTCGGGGAGACCTTCTGCGTGGGGTGGGAGCCGAGGGGAGGCAGGGGGTGTTGTGGGGGTCGGCGTGGGCGGTATGTCCACAGGGAGGCCGGGAGCTGATGAGCTCCTCTGGGGAGCTGGCTTCTCTCCTCTACCAAGCCCAGGGCTGCTCAGGCGAAGGCCTGTGTCCCTCACTCTGTGGGGCAAGTGATTAGGGGCTGGCCTTGTCCCCAGCCACAAGACCCCTTCCTCTGGCAGCTGCCTGGCAGCGTGACCAGTTCTCTGGGTCTCCTGGGCAGGGGTGAGGTGGCACTCGGGAAGGCAGAGCTGGGCTTGGAATCGAGAGGCCTGGCTTCTGGTGTTCGCTGTGACCTTGGGAAGTCCTTCAAACATTCTGAGCCGTTTTGTCAACTAGGAAATGGGGGGGATGCTATCTACCCACACAATTGTGGGAATATTGGGCGAGGCAAGGAATTGAGGGCGAGCTGTGCGCAAGGCTGACAAGTGTTCCCGCTGGGCAGGTAGAATCGCTGGTGCCCTGCCCCACGCCCTTCTGGAGGCCCTGGGCCTCCTTTCCCCAGATCCCGGCCCCAGCCCGTGCCACCGGGGGGAAGTCCCCAATTCCTGCGGTGGGGAGTCAAGGAGTTGATTCTCAGTCTCCACTGCCCTGGTGACATTGCTGGGTGGCTTAGCAGGAGCTGGCTGGGACCAGTTGAGTCCAAACCTGCAGCCAGCAGGGCCAGTGAGGGGTGAGGAGGGAGGGAGGCAGGGAGGGAGGGTGCAAGTGTCTGGTGGCTTTAGTAGTTCACGGTGGGGTCTGGGCCTGTGATTTGTTCTGTGTCTTTCTGTGGCAGGAGCTAGGGAGATCTTTCCAGAGCTCAAATCTTTTTCTGCCAGGCTTCTGCTTAAACCTCCACTGACTGTCCCTTCCAAAACCCCAGTGTCTTTGTTTTGGTTTTTTTTTGTTTGTTTGTTTGTTTATTTTTGAGACAGAGGCTCACTTTGTTGCCTGGGCTAGAGTGCTATGGCGTCAGCCTAGCTCACAGCAACCTCAAACTCCTGGGCTCAAGCAATCCTCCTGCTTCAGCCTCCCGAGTAGCTGGGACTACAGGCATGCGCCACCATGCCCAGCTAATTTTTTCTATATATTTTTACTTGGCCAATTAATTTCTTTCTATTTATAGTAGAGACGGGGGTTTCGCTCTTGCTTAGGCTGGTTTAGAACTCCTGACCTTGAACGATCCTCCAGCCTTGGCCTCCCAGAGTGCTAGGATTACAGGCGTGAGCCATAGCACCCGGCCAAAACCCCACTGTCTTTGCAAGTCAAACAGGGCAGCTGAGATCCAGCCGAGTCTCCGGCCCCTGCCCACAGCACACCAGCAGTCCGCACTCTGTGCTCGTCCCCCAGCCTGTAGTACTTTTCCTCTCTCCTCTGCTCAGGACTCCATTGAGTTCCACGCCCTCCAGGAATCCTTCCAGAAACTCCAGAATTGATTCGGCCTCCGCCCTACGGCTTCCATGATGCCTAGGGCCTAATCCGATCCGCACTTATCACTGTCTGATCCTCCTTGAGGGGAGGGGCTGCATCCCAGGCAGCCCTGCACTCTGCAGACCTCAGCTTGCGTGGCTGGGTGAAGGGGCCTAGGGTGAGTCTGATGCCCCTGGAGTCCCAGGGAACCGCCGTTCTTGGGATGATGGGTCATTCTCCCCGTCTCACCCCACAGCTGCCCCTGTCTAGCAGCCACCTGAACGTGTATAGCAGCGACCCCCAGGTCACAGCCTCCCTGGTGGGAGTCACCAGTAGCTCCTGCCCGGCCGACCTGACTCAGAAGCGAGAGCTCACAGGTACTGCCCCGTCTCTCGGTGTGCCCCGGGTCCCCTCGTCCTTCATCCCCACCCTGCGCCCAGCTCTTCTCCTTCTCCCCGGCCTCCAGATGCTGAGAGCCGGGCCCTGGCCAAGGAGCGGCAGAAGAAAGACAATCACAACCTAAGTGAGTCCTGCGCCTCTCCCCGCCTGCTTCCTTGCTCTCACCTGGGCAGCCAGACAGCCACTCCCTGACCCGGAGCAGTTCTAGGAAGGCTTCCCTACCCAAGGCCAACTGCCCCAAGCCCTCCCGCTGGTGCTGGCTGGGCTCAATTTTGTTCTCTTCCCTCTAGTCCTCTTTAGGAGGGGCTGGGAGAGGGGCTCCTGGGGCGGGATAGTGACGAAACCCCAGTTTATCAGATTGTTTTCTGGGTTAAGGTGTGGAACGTGGGCCACGGAGTTCTGTGCAGTGGGGAAGAGTCCCACCACAGGCAGCTTCGCTGTGCTAACAGCCTAACCAGGGCCGGTTCTGCCTCAGGGTGCCCTAAATTGCATCTGGCCTTCGCCCTCTCGCCTCTGTAGAAATGCCAATCTTTTGGTTATCCTTTACTTCTTAGAAGGGCTAAATCTGAGCTGCAGGTTGCCCCTGAGGTGCCCTTCCCTGGGCTAGATGCTTCTCCCCAGGGGGGGTCTCCATCCCTCTAATTGCTCCCTGTTACCTTTAGTCGAAAGGAGACGGAGGTTCAACATCAACGACCGCATCAAGGAGTTGGGAATGCTGATCCCCAAGGCCAATGACCTGTGAGCAGGTTTCTGGGCGGGAGGGTAGGGGCCCGGGGTGGGCAGGAGCTGACAACTACGATCTGCCCCCAGCCCCATGCTAGCTGCTAGGCTGGGAAGAGAATCCCTCCTAGAGCTCATCATCTATTTGAGAAAAGAAGATCCCTCACTCTCCCAAATCAGGAAGCTCAAGGCAGATGAGCTTCTATCCTGGAAGTGAGGCTGGGGTCAAGGGAAGCGTCCCGGAGGAAGAGTCACACTGGGAAGGTTTCCTCAAGGGCACTGGACTGGTAGATAGGAGAGAGGTGGTCGAGGGGCAGGAGGAGTACTGACAGCCCAGGGTAGGCTTGGGTTTGGGTGGTCTTGGGAAGGACCCTGCACCAAATTGCTCGGTTCCATGTGCTTAGAGAGGTGGGTGGTGGCAACGGAAGCCACCTGGGAGGGCCTGTTCTGTGCAAACTGAGATCAGCCTCCTTCACAGATAGGGAGTGGCCAGGTCTGGGGTCGGTGGGCAAGGCTGGGGCAGGCGACATAGGCTCTGACACCAAATCAGAGGCAGAGACTTGGCCACTCCTCTGAGCACGCATCTCTGACCCTGCCTGGCCTGGCGCCGCAGGGACGTGCGCTGGAACAAGGGCACCATCCTCAAGGCGTCTGTGGATTATATCCGGAGGATGCAGAAGGACCTGCAGAAGTCCCGGGAGCTTGAGAACCACTCTCGGCGCCTGGAGATGACCAACAAGCAGCTCTGGCTCCGTATCCAGGTCTGGTCCTGAACTCGGACTTCTTGGGTAGCTCTGACCCCCTGACCCTGACCTGGCTCCTGACCCCAGGGGCAGTCCTTACACTTCTGAAGTTGGAGACACAGGAATGATGCCCATGGGGAAGGAGGATGTCTCAGTCAGGATGTTATGCTTTGGTGACAAACAATCCCTAGCACCTTTAAAGCAACAAATACCAGCTGAGCTTCTGTTCTGTGAGACCCTCATTCTGGAACCCGAGCTGACAGACAGGCACATCTAGAGCTGGCTCTTAAAGTCATGTGTCACTCTTAAGGTGCCACATGTGGCTTCTACTTATATGTGCTTGACCCATGCAAATACACCCCACATCCAGCCTCCAGGGAGCAGGAAAGTGCAGGCCCGCCGTGTGCCTGGGAGGCAGAGCGTAGAATCATTTGGTGGCTAGTGCTAGCAGTCACCACGTGGCAAACCAAAGAACAAGGGCTTGGGGGAGTCAACTCTACCAGCTGGACAGACAGTTCTAGTCCTGGCTCTGTGTTGAGGGCCTCTTGTCTTCTTTGGACCTGAGGCTGGTCCTCTCCACAAAAGGACTGACACTTCTAAGCTTTTCTGTTTCTCATGGCAGATAATACGATTTACATTAAAATCTAACACACAGAATCACACTCAAAGTGAAAAATCAAAATTTCATGAAGGAACACTCATTCTTAATAGGTGCAATGTGTCCTGATAATTTCTATTCCAGGCTAGTCTAGACAAGCCTATTTCAACTAGGGAAAAAATAGAGAAAGAGCTGGTCAAGACTCAGTACAGCGGTTTCACAACCCACTAATGAGTTACGACTTGCAGCTTGAAAAACACTGGTCTAGACTCCAGAAGCTACCCTATGCTTTCTCCCAGCGGAGACATTTCGTGGCCTTGGGTGCCACGAAGGCAGGGCCCAGTGCCGGGATGGAGGTGTGGGGAGGGTGGCCTGGCAGCTGGTGTCTATGGTTGTGCGCCCCAGCCCTCTGTCTGCCCCCCTGCAGGAGCTGGAGATGCAGGCTCGCGTGCACGGCCTGCCCACCACCTCCCCTTCGGGCATGAACATGGCCGAGCTGGCCCAGCAGGTGGTGAAGCAGGAGCTGCCCGGCGAAGAGGGCCCAGGGGAGACCCTGATGCTGGGTGCCGAGGTCCCTGACCCTGAGCCGCTGCCGGCTTTGCCTCCCCAGGCCCCGCTGGGCCCGCCTGCTCAGCCACCGTCCCCATTCCATCACCTGGACTTCAGCCACAGCCTGGGCTTTGGGGGAGGGGAAGACGAGGGGCCCCCGGGCTACCCCGAAGCCCTGGGGCCGGAGCATGGCTCCCCCTTCCCCAACCTGTCCAAGAAGGATCTGGACCTCATGCTCCTGGACGACTCCCTGCTACCGCTGGCCTCCGACCCCCTCTTATCCACCATGTCCCCCGAGGCCTCCAAGGCCAGCAGCCGCCGGAGCAGCTTCAGCATGGAGGAGGGCGATGTGCTGTGACCCTGGCTGCCCCTGTGCCAGGGAACAGGGGCCGGCCTGGGGGCTGGGAGGGCTGGGGCACCCCCTCCCTCCCTTCAGGCTGCACTTGTGTGTGAATTAGCCACCTGCCCTGCCTCACTACTCCCCATTGGCCCCCTGTTTGGACTTAGTGCCTGCCTGGCAGCCTGTGGGGTCAGGAGAAGCCCCCCACCTCAGTGCCCCCCTCTGGGGTGGCCCTCTTGATGGGGCTGGGAGGGAGTAGGCCTTCAACTTGGCTCCAGGAGGTGAAATCATGGGGGGGAGGAGGGGCAGGTGTACTAGAGGTAAGAAGAGGACTCCTAGTGGGGGGGGTCCCATCTTCTGGGCCTGATCCCCCCATCACCACCAATGAAGGACACGTTGGAGCAGAGGATTCCAGAAGCTCCTTCTCTGAGGCAGCGGCTGGTCTGGGGGTGCCCGGGCCTGCCTTTCTGGGACTCAGATGGCAATAAGCCCATCCCCCAGCCTGGTCCTCCCCCCTCCCACAGGTGGGGTCCCACCCCCTTCGGTGCTAACAGCTCTCCACCAGGTGGTGTGAGGGTGGGGGTGGCTGGAAGAGCAGGACAGCTGGGTTCAGGTTAGAGTGTGGGGTCACTGCTGGAAGAGCAGCCCCCTCCAGACTTCCCACTTTGTGCCTTTAGTAAACACTGTGCTTTGTACCTGCTTGTCCTGTCTCTTTGGAGTGGGTCTGGGCTGACAACAACCAGGAATGATTCAACCCAATGGGCTCCCTTCTGGACTGAGAAGAGTTTGGATGCTCCTTGAGGGGCGTTGGGGTGGGGGTGCAGAGAAGAGGGAATAAGCCCGTCGCCTGATCCCCCCAACTCCCCAGCCCTGCCCCAGAAAGCGGGAGATGCAGCCTCACTTCTGGGTCTGGGTGCCGATGGGGCGTTCTCCCTCCTCACTGCCACAAGGTGGCGCTGCTGCCACGCTGGTCCTGCGCCTCCAGCTGTGGCCCGCGACGGAGCAGGTGATGATGTGGGGGTTGACCAGGTGCTCCTAAACCAAGTCCACCGTCCTTAGCTGCTGCTTTTGGGTACCTTTGGCCCAGGTTACCCTGGGCCCAGGGTGGGGGGCATGCTTCTCCTCTCCCCAACCCCAGTTCTAGTGGCAACCTCCCAGATGTCTTCCCTTCTCAGGGGCTGACACCCAACTCCAGCCGCCGCCCTGGAGGCCAGGCTAGCGGCTCTCTGTCCTTAGTGTCCCTAGCAGGACAGGCTTCCTGGTGGCCGAGGGTGTCCTATGGGTTGGGGAGAGGGACCCATGTGAACTATTTGGGAGGAGACAGGCGCACAGGGCGCTGGTGGGTGTGAAAGACTCGGGCCCTACCCCTGCTCCACTCCAGCACTGTCTGTCTCGGCTGACAGCTCCTCTCCCTGGGCGGCGACCCAGACATCATGGTCCCCGTGGCCTCTGCACCAAGATTCCAGGATTTTCTGATCTCACCCAGGGTGGGTATGTGGGCTGGGGGGCAGCAAGGTGTCTGCTTGAGCCCCAGGTGTCTGAGTGAGGGGGGAGGGGTCTCCTCGGGCACTAGGCACTGTCTGGCTCCCTCTTTGATTTTCCAGTGTCTTCAGGCAGAGGCCAACGAGACCTCCCCTCCCTGGCCTCTAAGAGGCTGAAAGGGCCTAGTTTAAAAAAAAAAAAAAATCTCAGGATGAAAGTGGCAAAAAGGGCAATTTCCTCTGTGCAGAACAGGAGATCAAATCAACATTGGAGCAATTAATGTGCAAGGGGAGAGAAGGAAAGGGGGCCGGGCGGCGTGGGCACTGCTGGCGGCCTGGCTGGCAGAGGCTGCAGGATTAATCTCAAGGTCAGATGGAGCCGCAGATGACCTTGTGGAGTCTGTGCCTCCTTCTAGTTCCAGGTCCCACCCCACTGCCTGGGGCTTGCGCATGCCCTGGGAGCTCTGGCCAAGCCCATTCTGGGGCAAGCGCTGGACTCTGGCTGGGAGACACCTGATGATTCAGGCTTGGGCTGCCTGGGCGCGGGAGGGGCTGGGGGTCCGGGAGAAATCTCTCTGTCCCAGCCACTTGGTCTTCCACTTCACCCTGAGGATTCCGCACTGGAGCGGAGGGCAGCCCCTGCAAGATTGCTGGCTCTCCGTCCGCCTGCCTGCTGCCTTCCTGCCCCTCCCCTCCTTCAGTGGCAGTGGCACACTGGACAGACAGGACTGAGGGTGTGAGTGGGGTTCTGTCCACAAGAGGGTGCCCCTGGGCCAGGACCAGGCAACTGCCTGCCCCGGCTGGTGGTGGTTGGGAAAGTCTTAGCTTCATTGTACATTCTGAGCTGCTTGCCTGGGTGGCTTGCACCCTGCCTGGGGCTCCTGCAGTCCAGCTGGTTTGGTTAAGGATGGCCCTGGTGCTACCTCCAGCATTTCAATAAGCCACCAGCAAGTGTCCTATATCTGAGACGCAGCTGCACCATCCTCATCTTGTGGCCCTAATGGAGTTGGGACATCAGCTCTGTCGGCTTCAGACAGGTGGCTGTGAATATCTCTGATTAAACAAGAGGGAAATGTGTTCTTCCGCCATGTTCTTCATTTGGTGGACACCACCTTTCCGGGTGACAGGTCCATGGGGGAAGATTCTTTTTAAAAAAAGGCAGAGTGGGGCGGTTGGTTGGTGTGAAAGCAGGGTGGACCTGTCCAGCCCCTTCATTTCTGCGAGAAAGTCCCCTGGGGCCTGAGAGCAAACAGCAGGCACAAGGGGAGAGGGAGCCAGGAGAGCCCCAGGCTGGTGTGGGGGCAAGCACTGTTGCTCCTACCCGGGGTGCTGAGGGAGCAGAGGTGGTGCTGGTAGAGGACACAGAGTGGCCCTGCCCCTGACCCCACTGTCCTCAGCTGCAGTTCCTGTGTCTGTCTGTCCTGCTAGCTGCTCTCTCTGCCCAAGCACCCACCTCCTCAGTCGAGGGAAGTTCCAGGTGTCAGCTGCATCTGCTCCTAGCCTGAACCACCACTGGTAGAACAGGACATCTGGGGGGCCAGAGCCTGCATGGGGAGCAGGTGCTCAGTCACCTGCCTGGGACTCCATTGCCCATGGCCCTGTAAAGTCAGAGAGTCTTCCTTTACTATTTGGGGCCATTGACTTGCATGGGACACACTGTGGATCTTTTACACACACACACACACACACAGCCTCCTAAAAACCAACCCTAAGTCTAATGCTCAGGCCTCTGCCCCCCACAAAACTCACACCCCTTCTCACCCTAGGAGCACCTGGCCGGGCTGGGGAGGCCAGACCCCTCCCCATGCACCTCCTGCCCCCTTTCTTCCCGGGACCCTCACCTCTCAGCGTCCAGCCCCCACCCCCTCTCAGACTCCTCCAGCCTCCTCTTTTTTCTTCGCTCTCTCCTTTCCGAGGGGGGCAGTGGAATTTATACAATATTTAAGCAGCAGAGCCGAGTCCGGGAAGATATTATTAATGTAAAAGGGACGGGCTGCAAATGCTTTTGGACCTGGTTACAATTAGAGGGTGATTTTTCTAAAGGTCAATGAATTCAGATAATATCCACAGGGGGGAGAGAAATTTAATACCTTTTTAGTGAATTAATTAATTATAATATTATATCGGCTTGGGGTTCTTTTCCAGAGTGATTAAGGGAGCGATCCGTCTTCTGTGAGGCCGGGGACGGCAGTTGCCGCCAGCGAGGACCCTGTCACGGGGCTCAGGATGGGGGCCCTTCCCTCTCCTCTCACCCCTGCGGTGGCTGCAGGGCTTGGGGAGCTGCGGGCAGGGGGACGGGCAGGCAGGACCCGGCCGGGGCTGAGGGCAGGCGCAGTTAGTGGGCTTTCCCTGCAGCCTGTTGGGTCCCGAGGCCCAGCCCTCCTCCTGCAGCCATGTCACCAAGCCTCACGACACAGTGGCCTGAAGAGCTGGGACATGGGTTGTGGCCTCCTCCTCTACACTTGGAGAAACTGAGGCCCACTGTGAGATACAACAGGCTGGGGTGGCAGCTGGCTGGAGATGCTGAGAAGATGAGGACAACCTCTCCCATACCTCCCAAATCAGGCCTTCTGGAAAATCTCCACTGGCCAGAGGTCTATGGAGCTGCCTGTGAGGTTGCCCTCTTTCCAAAAGAGGCTCTTTCAGGGTGGGGAGAGTGTCCAGGCTCTGCTTGTAAAATGAAAACGCCTCGGGAGTGTTGACAGTTCAAGTTACTGCAAGGCCTGGTGAGGGAATAGCTAAGCTTTCTGTCCCTGAAGGGACCTAAAAGTGTCCAGGGAAAGATGCTTTTCCCCCATTTATTCATTCATTCATACATTCAAGCAGTCATTCAACAAACATTGAATGAAGAAACTCTTCCTTTTGTGCCATAGGAGAGACTGAAATAGCCCTCCTTGAGCCCCCACCCACCTCATCCTGAGCTCCCGCTGCTCATGTGAGACCTCCATGAGGAGATGGGGAGACCTCCATGGTTCCTTTCTGCCCAGACAACAGTGCGGAACTCCAGCTGGGGGCAGGAGACTGCTGGGTTGCAGTGGGCTTGCCGAGCAAAGCGGGCACTGGTTCACTCAGCAAACCCTCAGCACCCACTTTGAGCTGGCCCCGTGCAGGGTGCTGGGGATGGTGGATGGCCAGCCCGGTTCTGTCTGAGCTGGTCCCTGGGGGATGGGGGTGCAGGGAGACAGACGTGGGAGCCGGCACTAATGACTCTGACTCGGTGTGGGTTTGGAGAAAGGGGCGGAGGTGATGTTAAGCTGGGTCATGAGGGAGCAGGCTCATGAGGGACAAGGGCAGAGGAAGGCACGTGGATGGAGAGAGAGGGGTATTCCAGGCACAGGACACAGAGTGTACAAAGGCCTGAGGAACGGGACCACCTGCAGGGCCCGCAGATGAGAGGGCACCGTGGGACTGGCAGTGGATGAGGCTGGGTGGGCAGCCACCTCTGCCCCTGCCCACACTCCCAGGCCTGTTAACTGGAAGATGATTCCACAAGGCTACAGGTCCTGGGTCAGGAAGGCAGGGAACGACAAAGCCAAACAGACCTGCATTTAAATGTGGGCTCTGCCATGGCTCGATGTGTAATGGAGCTTCTCCGTGCCTCAGTTTCCCCATCTGTAATGGGGGATTGCTATATATACCTCCCAAGGTGGTTGTGAGCATTCAAGGCATAACTGAAGGGAGGGCCAGGCATTGCATTTCACTCATGGCTCTAGACATCTCAGCCTCCAGATGGCCTGAGAGGGGGTGGGCGGGTCACGGCCCTGTCCCCGCTGTGCCCTCAATTCCTTTTCCCTCTCAAGCAGGTGCCAGCAGAGGCTCTAGCCTGGGGGCTCTCTTGGGGGGGATCAACATTTTCCTCCTCTCCTCACTCAGCCCCATCTTTCCCCGTCTTTCCCCCTCCCTGCCTGGTCCCTCCTCTCCCTCCCTCCCCTCCCTGCAACAGCCCCTCCCCCACCTCTCCTCGCTCGCTCTGTGTGCGGCAGGCCGGGGAGGGCCTTCCCATTGTACTATCTTTGGGCCCTAAATTAAAATTGATGACATCTTGAAATGAGCAGTGAGGGTAATTTTGCTTCTGAGCCGGGATGCTAATGAGGCCCCTTAATGGTGCGAACGCTGAGCTGACGGGTCGTGTGTCACGCACAGCGGCGAGGGGGGTAATGGCCACGGTAAGTGCCGGTAATTACACCCTGTCTCGCTGTATTTTGGCAGGCCTG